CAGTCCAGGAAGGACAGGAGGGGCTGTAGAACACAAGAAAGTTCCTCTAGAGGACAAGACCTAGACTATGCACAGGTCATCCGTCAGTCTCCATTGGTGAGAACTTGGGAGAAAGGAGCTTGAGCTGCAAGGGAGGAGGGGACACCACTCGGTGTTGCAGCCTCAGGGGAGCATTTGCGGCCAGAAGGGGAGGGCAGCAAAGAGAAGGAAATGCTTCTTGTCTAAATTTCAAATATTCTTGTTGAACCACAAGAAAGAAAACTATTTTTAAAAGAGGAGATAATTAAAAAAATCAGGAGGAAATGATCAACTTTCTAGAGTCAACAATGTAGTAAACACAGGCTATCATTTTCAGAAAACACACCAAGCACGACCAGGTGAGTGTGCAGAAATTTATTCATCAAATACTATGGAACAAATGTTGCCCTTCACGTGCATCTCAGCAGATTTTAAAAGTCAATAGGAATTAAACCTTGTGATTTCCCCAGAATCTGGTAACAGGGAGCAGAACTGACCAGCCATACCCTGTCACCTCTCCTGCCTTGTAGGACCCACGGCTGGCACTAGGACAAGAACCTGTGATGACCGTGCAGATGACATTCCCAGCATCCTTTCCTTTCTACTCTCTGAGCATTTCACCAAAAGACCCATCATTCCACATGACCAAAGCCATAAAAACAGAAATGGTGTCCTTCCAGAGTATGATTGCAGGATTTGGAAATACTGGGACAAACAGAGAATTAGGCAGATCTAGGAAGAAGGAGAAGGTTTCTATGCAACCAATCAGAAAGCAGTATGAAAGTTGGCAGCTCAGAGGACAGTGAGGATGGTGAGCCTCAACTAGGAGCAGTGTTGTGGGCATGACTGAGGAGCAGCCTTGCTGTGGCTTAGTCAGGCCTTGGATGTGCTATGCAGCTTGGGAGCTTGGACCTCATGTGGGATATTGGGAGGTTGCTGGATCTAAGAAGTGGAGTCTATGGGAGGTCCCAGGCCTGTCCCATCTGTGTTCTGGCTTCCTTTCTCTTAATGTGGCCTCCCCCTTCTAGGAGGCACTTCCACCATGGTGACGTTGATGTAGAGGGGATACAGACAGGGTCTATCAGGTGGGTGTCTAGAGCATCCCCCATCCCCAGTCCTCTGAGCTGCACTGAAGAAGAGGTCACTAAGTGAGGCTGTCAATGACCTGGATGAGCTCCTGCAACCTCTGCTCCAGGTCCTGAGCCTTCTGCCTTAGCTCTGCAGCAGACTCTGTCTTTGCACCCTCATGCAAATGCTTTGACTCTTGTATAAGGCTGACCACATCCAGCACAAGGTAGAGACCTGCGGTGGTTGCATCCTTGATCCGCTCTCCTTTGGTCATTGCCAGAGCTGTGCCTTTAAAGGATTTCTCTACCTGTCTAGTGTTACCCAATGACACCTTCTCTATTGCTTGGCGAGACTTAGCGAGGTTGATGGCATCAATGTTAGTCTTCATGTCTTTCAGTTTCTTGAAGGAACTCTTAAATACGGAAGCAAACTCGGGTGTGTTCTTCTCCAAAACTTTTTTAATGACCTCCCCTTTGTCCTGGCTGGTTGGCACCTGCTGGCTGGCTTCAGATTCTGCTAACTCTGTGCTGATCTTTTCCACAAGGCTTGTAGACACACTAGTCACTGCTGCTGCCGCCCCCAGTCCCAAGCCTGTGGCTGAAAGCCCCAGACTGACTCCTGCTGTTACAGGTGCCAGAGCGTGACCAAGGATGGTCAGGACTCCGGACACAGCACTGGTAGATTTGGCCACCACTTGTGTGATGGTGCAGTCCCTGTGCACATTGTCAATCCTGTCTGCAAGGGCGCGCAGCTTCCTGATCTGCTGCTCAAGCTCCGGTTTCAGCTGAAGATAAACGCTTAAAAGTCTTCTGTTCTGTTCATCTTTCTTTTTCCTGTGACAGGAGAGGACAACTGAGTGAGGAAGACAGCTTGTAGTTTAGATCTGTCCTGTGGAAAACACAGAGCATCTGCTCTGAATGAAATGTCAGAGAGTGTTACAGTTGTACAGGATCTTTCTTATAGCTACAAGAACACTTGACACACCGCAATGTCTTGAATTGTTAAAAAGACAGTGGGTTAAAACCCATCCTAATGTGTCTTTTTAATTTTTCATTTTATTTTGTATTAGTATTTTGCCTGTGTGCGTGTGTGTGTGTGTGTGTGTGTGTGTGTGTGTGTGTGTGTGTGTGTGTGTTTGTCTGTGTGTTTATCATGTGTATGCCTGTTGCCAGTGGAGGGTAGAGGAAGGCATCACATCCCTAGGACTGGCTTTAGAGTCTGTTGTGAGCTATCATGAGGGTCCTGGGTATTGAATATGGTTCCTCTGGAAGAGCAGCCAGAGTTCTTAACCACTGAGCCATCTCTAGTCCCTTATCACTCCTCTCTGTTGCTAGACATTTAATAAAGATGCCTTACCCTCCAGGTCAATGTTATCACTACTAAAATACTTCTCTGTAGGAACTCTAAACAAACACAGAAAAGTGGATTTAGAGGAAAAAAATACTGCTTTGTTTTAGGAAAAGTTACTATTTTCTGAAGAGTTCACTGTCCCCAAAGAAAATTTTTCTATGACCTCAGTTGCTGAGACATGCCCTGTGTCCTGCTGGTCGGAGATGTCCATGTTTCCTGGAGGACTTCTGTTCTGAGAGATTGCAAAGTGCACATTCCTAAGAGGGAAACCCTATATGGGAATTCTTTTTTCACTGCAGTGCTGTGTACATGTGTGATCTGGTGGGGCAGCTCACAGCTGAGATCCATCCACTCAAAACACAGGACAGAAAGTTCTTTTCCAGCTGTGAGCAGAAGACAAAGAAACCAGAGTGGATTCCTCATTGACATGTGTGTCCCATCGCCAAGAAATCTCTCTGTGCCTTTGCACCTGTTTTTGTAGCAGGTAAAACTGAGCGGAGAGTTCAGAACACATAGGTTCCCTCGACTCCCCAGCAGGATTTGTCAGCCTGAAAAAGACAATGTGTGGTGGGATTTTGATTTCATTTCTGACCTTCAGGGGAACCAGACACTAAAAGCATGGACTCCAGGAGGGAGGCAGACCCCGGGTCCCTCTGGGTCTGTGTATGTCATTAAGGACCAACACTCTTCTGGACACTGAGGCTTACGTTGACAAACATTTTCCTAGAGTAAACGTTACTTACATCTAAATACCTTCCACAGTGTGGATCTGTCTTGGTTTTCCATGCCTTTCCTGTACATGATGGGTGTGCCCTGTCTAGGCTTGTCAAGAATCCTGCCAGGTTGTGAGACTGCCCTACCTTTGATACTCAGTACTCAATCAGGTTCCTGTGTTTAACTTCCGCAGTCTTAGGCCTTGACTCCCCTCAGGAGGATTCCTGAGGTCAGCTGCCCAGTGCCCCTACTCTCTGCTGTCTACTGCCCCTCACTCAGCTTGTCCTCTAGAGTCCCCAGCTGAATGTATATCCAGAACTGTTCTGTCTCTTTCCTTAGAGCAACTGTCCTGAACAACATCTTCTTGACTGTTAACTTATATCAGAATAATTGTTCTTTCCCATGGGAGCTTTCTTGGTGTGTGACACTCCATGTGAACTCTCACATGACTGCACCGTGTCCTGAGGACAACAGTAGAATCTCCCTGAAATCCCTTGAAGAGGACTGTGGATGTGGCTAAGTTGGTAAATTGTTTGCCACGCAATCACTGGACCTCAATTCAGTCTTCCAGAGTCCACACAGAGAACCCAGGTGCTTGACATGGCCTTGATTCCTGCTTGGGGATGCAGAGTCATGAGGATCCTTGGTATTCTCTGGTCAGCTAATCTAGACAAATTGATGATATCCAAGTAAATAAAGGTAATTGTTTTTCAAAGGGCTGGAGAGATGGCTCCTCCATTCAGACTGTGTCACTTCCAGAAAATGTGAGTTTGGTTCCCAGCCCCCACGATTTGTGGCTCAGTGCTCAAGGGAGTCTGATGTCCTCTTTTGACCTTTATTGATAATACTGTGTATTAGGGACCTCACTCAGGCCCTTAATTAATTTCAATACTTTGTTCCCTTAAAGTCTCAATGTCTAAATACAGTCACTTGGGCATAGGGCTTTCCCAAACTAGTTTAGGGACACAACTCAGTCCTTACCACTAGTGACACCATTAAAATATCTCATGTGGGAGTTGGGGATTTATTTATTTATTTGTTTGAGACAAGGTTTCTCTGTGTAGCTTTGTGCCTTTCCTGGAACTCACTTGGTAGCCCAGGCTGGCCTGGAACTCACAGAGATTTGCCTGGCTCTGCCTCCCGAGTGCTGGGATTAAAGGTGTGCACCACCACCACCCAGCTAAGTTGGGGATTTAGCTCAGTGGTAGACAGTTTGCCTATCAACCGCAGGCCATGGGTTTGGACCTAAGCTCTGTAAAATAAATCTCATGTGGCAGGCGCTCAGAAACACATCTGTACCACTGGTCTCTGATGCCATTCAAGCTGTTATGCACTGTCCCCCAATCTTGTTCATTTCTTTTTCCCAACGAGAGAGAAAAAACTTCAATGAATCTGTGGATGCATACCTCCCTGTCTTCTCCTGCAGGCCCTTCTGGAGTTCGTCTTCATCAACTTTCAATGAACACCTGCTATGTTCTGGGCACTTCCTTTGTGCTGGCCTGTGTCTGGAGGCCAACAGAAAATTCTCCCTTAAAGCCCTAGATGCAGCCTGAGGATGTGACTAAGTTGGTAATGTGTTTGCCATGCAAAGTAGACATGAGTTCTGTCTTGCAGTGGCCACATAGAAGAGCCAGGCATAACATTTTTTTTTTTTAAAATCATACTACAATTACTCTGATACCCAAACCACACCAAGATGCAACCAAGAAAGAGAATAACAGACCAATCTCTCTCATGAACCTTGTTGCAAAAACACTCAATAAAATACTGGCAAACCAAATCAAGAACATCTCAAAACAAAATCATCCACCATGATCTACTATGCTCCCTCCCAGTGATACAGGGATGGCTCCACATATGAAAGCCTGTCAATGTGTTCTACCATATAAACAAAATGAAAGAAAGAAAACCCATATGATCATCTCATTCGATGCTGACAAAACCTTTGATGAAATCCAACACCCCTTCATGATAAAGGTCTTGGCGGGATCAAGGATACAAGGAACATACCTATATATAATATACGTAATACACAGCAAGCCGACAATCAACATCAAAATAATTGGAGAGAAAGTGAACGAAGCTGCTACTTTCACAGCCTGGAGCTTCAGGTCCTTCATGCTCCTTGTGTCCAGAGGTACTCAACCACAGACTCAATGAAGCCTCTTCTCTCTAGATGGGAAGGAAAAGGAATATGGTTAGAGGACTGTGCATTGGCGCTTGAATGGATTTGGGAACTAGCTTTGTAAATGTGGTTCTGAGCATCTGTCCCTTGAGGTAAATTTTGATGTCACTAGTGGTAGGAGCTGAGTTGTGTCTCTTAACTCATTTGTAAAAGCTCTAACCACTAGTGACTGTATTTTTTAGATAGAGCTGCTAAGGCACCAAGTGTGGTTGTGAGTGAGGTCCCTAATCCATAGCATTAGGGTCCTTATAGCAGCCAGAAAAATCTCCCTCCCACCCTTTTATGGTGCTATTTTATTTGTGCTGAAATGTGATTTTATTTGTATGTTAATAAATAAAGTTGCCTGGGATTCAGAGCTAATAGCAAGCTGTAGCAGAAGTCTGGCAGTATTAGCACACACCCTTAATCCTGATCACATGACAGGCAGATCTCTGTGTGTTCATGGACATAACCAGCATGGAGACACAAGCCTTTAATCTCAATACCAACCATAGAAGAGCTGGAGGTCTGTATAGACAGGCAGTGATGAGGAGGTCATCTGGTTGGGTTTACAACCAATGAGAAGGCAGAACAGAAAGTCAATAAAAAGACAGACACACGGGAAGTAGGTCTCTTTCTGAGGGGAAGGATGGCAGTGCCAGTGAAGGGTAAGAAAGGATTTTTAGTATCAGCTCTTAGCTACTGCTCTGACCTCTGGAGCTTTTAACTCTGCATTTGGCTCTGTGTTTCTTATTTAATAAGACTGTTACATCTACACCCTTTCCCCACTTCTCTATCTCCCCCCTCCTTTCTCTCTTTTCCTGCCTCTCTTCTTCCCTCCAGACACATAAGAGAGTCCATGGGCCAGCACAGGGTACAGGCTCCTTCTGTCCACCAGGAAGACAGAGCTCTCCAGTGCCAAATATCACACTTGGATTGTGGATATCGGATTCTAGGGCAGTGAGAAATGACACCTTTTCTTTTTAAGTCTCCTACCCAGTGTCACTTGGAGATGTCATCCTGAGAAGATCAATATACCAGGGAGGTGTCATGGTGTTTTGCAGAGATGTGTATC